ATAAGGTCACTAAAGTCAACTCCATGGCAGTGAGTTTTTTGGGCATCAATGCATTTTGATACCAAAACCCACTGTTTGAAATGAATCATCTTACATAATCTGCATAGTAACTCTCTGAAATAGCTAGGTATCTCCAATATGCTCATTTTACAAAGAAGGAACGCATGCGTCTGCTGGGAGTTAGTAAGATAATGAAGTACATAATCAGTACTCAATAAATGCCTGTCTGCCCTCTTCTCCTCTCCCTCTCCCAACCCCCCGTAGCTGCACTGATGGTCCAAGAAGGTGAGCAATATTCCTCTTTTTTGTTATTTTTCTGCAGAGATTACTATACATCTCCCGTAGCAAACAGCTACATGGTTTCTAGTGTCTTGGTTTAAGTTCTATACTGCCTGAAATGTTTGAGAAGAACTGGAATCACGTGGCTCTAGAATTTGGGCACCTGAGAGTAGCTGCCTCAGGGACCCAGGCAGACCCACTAACGCTCTGTCTTGAAGCCTATTCAAGACAAAGAGATTACTGAGTAAGGTGGTCCATTTGCTGAGGCTAAAAAGTGCTTTGAGGTGTTAAAAAACAAAACAAAAAACTAAGCATTTTTCTTAAGTACCAATGCCTGGCTCTCATTACTCTATCATAGGAGGACCCAATGCCCCCCAACTCTCACCACCACCGCCCCCTTCCCAAGGCAATAAGAGCATTAAGGCCTCAAAAACTGAGGCCAGGACACTGCACACACGCTGCTGAAGAAATGTTGCTGTTGCTAATTATAGGCACCAGATGAAGGTCTGGAAAAATTTCAATAATAAATTAAAACAATTAAAAGGCACAAATTTCAAAGCTCAATATGTAAATAACACTGTATCAAAATGAAACTCAAATGTGTAATGTCAGTTCAATGCCCTTAACTACAGCCAGTTTTAACACAGCTGCTTAGATCATACAATTACAGAAACTTTTAGTATTTTAGAACGCATTTCAAAGAGCAGCTGCAAAGAAACTTCCTTCCCCACCCACACCAGCCGGGCCCCCCCCCCTCCCAGTTACAGCTCTAGTTGTAAATTGCAAAGTTAGAGACCTTTTCAAAGAAAAACAATTAAACCGCTGCCAGAACAGTCTGCTGCCCTGGGTGCCTTTAACCTAGAGTACACAGACCAAGAATTCAGGCAGAAGCCCAGGAAAGCAATGCCGGCCGGGGTCACAAAGTCGAACATCTCTTCCCAAAAACATCCAGGAAACAACACAACAAAGTGGCACACACCTACATGATGTCAGAATGAAGCAGTTTGGAAATTAGTGAGAGAATAATTAAAACTACCTAGCAACTATTCTTATTCCCTCTGGAGAAGCAGGTGTTTCCTGCCTCTCTGGGCTTTTTCCTTCTTTTTTATAGCTGCCATCCTCCGAGTACCCACTAGATCCACCAGATGCCAGGCATATTAAAAACACTGTTTAATCCTCCCAATATTAGGGGAGGAACGAACCAAACCAAACCTGCTGGCCTCACGTCCGTTATGATTCATACCAGCCCTGTCCAATGAGCACTACTGCCCCACAGGGCTTCCAGGTTGTAGCCTTGACAGGAGCGCCGGCAGGACCGAATCGTGAACCTCTGGGTCAGCAGCTGAGCACTAAACCGGCTCTCCAGGAAGTCTCGGCATTATTCCCACAAAGATGACAACACTGTCAAACACTGCGTCGTCAGAGCACTCGGCAGTGCAAGGACTGGGATCCAAACCTAGGAGGTGCTGAGCCCCCGAGGCCAGGCTGGGTCTCTGACCTACAGTCCAGCCGAAGCCCGAGATCTACTAAGTCTACCACATTTACAGTCAGCAGAGATTCACCCTTCTTCCTTGGAAACAAGACCAGGGAGCAGGCCACGGCCAGAAGGCTGTTTCAAAACTCTTAATTGCTTAGACCCCTCAAAAGTGACCACTAAAGTGTATGGTCCCTTTTGAAGTACAAGCTGCCTGTACTGTAAGTGGTATACATATGCCCTCTAACAACAATTCTTACAAACCACAAACTTATCCTGCAGAAATTGACATTGCAGACTAAACATTTACCGTGATTTTTAGAAAAGCGTATCATAATTATCACTTTTTCCACTGAACCAAAAAGAGCCAGAGACCACAAACATTTTCCATTTTCCCTATTCTGACAGGTACAATATTCAATGAAGCATTAAAAAGCCAAAACGATAGGCAATTTTAGTAGAATTAATGGCTATTGCGATAAAAGATATCAGGTTGACTATTAATTTTAAGAGAGTAAAAATTCAAACTCAAGATCATCTAAAGTGAAACTAAGTAATGATGAGTAAGTTAGACCACATAATGTTGGATTTAAGTATAAGCGTACACAGGGACCTGTGTTTCCCCTAATGCTCTTCGAGCACGGTCTGTGTGAAGGGACTAATGCCAGGTTTAATCCAACTCTCCTAGACACCAACTCACACAATCAACTTGGCCAGCTTGTCCCCAGCTATTAGATTCCTATGTATGATATATACTGACAGATGTTTATATGTTCAGATCAAATCCTGCTAAAACAAATACCATTTTAACAAAAATATTTCCACGTCCCAGCCAGTGGTCCATTCATTTCATGTAATATTCAATACCACAAAATTCCACTTTAACAGAGAGACGGACAATGCCTTAAAATTCACTGTAACAAAAACTGAACTGTGTGCAATTACACTAACCATATTTATATACGTAACACATGTTCATATGTTCTGTCTCTTGTCCAAGACTGTACACTACTCCCCAAGAGAAAGGGCTGCCTCTGAGCTAAACTCTGCAAACTAAGAAAACTTCAACAGTGCCACCTCGTGGATATTCTAAAAAGTGAGGTTTCTGGCACTAAAATGTTTGAGAAACAAATGACAGGGAGAGAGAAGGCAAACAATAAACAATCATTTACTTGAGGAAGAAAGGAGGTATCGCCTCTCTTAGTCAAAAGCACTTCTGAGGAACGAGTGTAATTGCCAGCTTTCAAACAAAATGAACCTATCTTTTCTTGGCTGAAATGCAGACTGGCTCAACCGAAAGGCTTCTGGAATGGGGGCTTCTGGATTCAGGACACACAATGCACCAGGAGATGCATTACCAGCGCACTCATCTTCCTGTCATTTGCCAAAATGCTCTCTCTCATATAGTTAAAGCATCTCTGTCCCTCTGTCTGCTCACCTTCTTACAACCTAAAGTGTGTGTTACTGAATTGGGGTGGAAAGGGCCAGTTTCAAGAACTTTCTAGACAAACCTCAATCGTGATTTGAACTGCTGCACTGTTGAACCAACCTCAGCACCATGACCAGGACCCAGATGTAGGAGCCAGCCGCTTCCTGTCATTTCTCCTGTTTGCACCTGCCTAGCCTACACAGCAAGACACCTGACGAAGCGATGACTAAAACCCTCGCTTCTCCACGCCCACGGGAGAGATTAATTTACAAATTTTGGAAGGGGACTGAGATCAGAGGTTGGTCTGTCAGATTTCAGTCCTAAGTTGCAGGTCTGAGACGTGGGCCCAAGTCCTATTGGCTGTGGTAAGCACTTAGGACAGCGCCCTGCCACAACAGGAACCTCAGACAAGTTCAAGGAAGAGCTATTCTTTGAAGAGGCACCTGGTACCCAGTAGCTCTGACAGGAGGAGGACAGGTGACAGTGGCCCTGATTCATTCCTGGCAATTTCCAGGACTAGTTCAGTATGGCAACTGTAACCTCCTGAGGAAGCCGATTCGATCAGCGGCAAATGCCCTGGAGAGCAGCACTCCTCAGGAGTGAAAGCTCTCTCACCTAAGCACCAGCCACGAGTGGGCCATGACGCCACGTGTGCACACCCACGTGTGCACACGGTGAAGAGCTGTGCTCAGAGCGTCCTCAACAGCTCCTTTTGAAGAAATGCATGGGAGCTTCAACAAGTTTTATGGGAAAATTCCATGATCTTTTCATTCCATTTTTCCACAAAACGCCTAAGCCCCCTTGTACACCACCAGACTTTTCTTCTCCGGCACCTCTAGGTGAACTTGAACCTTCAACATGTTATTTAGTTCAGATCTGAGCATGTGTTCGCCAATTGCACCACCCAGGGACTCCCCATCCAACTTGGGCAATTTATATTTTAAAATAAGGGTGGAGGATAGGGGTATGGACCAAGAGACAGAGAGAGAAGGACATCAGAGAATGAGTAATCAAACCTCAAAGCACCCTTACACACAGCAAGAAAGAGGCCTGTATTTTAAAATTTATGCCTCAAGACAAATGATTATATACAGATTACCAAAATAAATGGCATCCAAGTGATCAACACTATTAATCCTAGGAATCACCTACAGTTCCTAGGTAGATGCTGAATGATTAAGTCCACCTCGATTGGCATTAAGGAGACTTCAAAAAGTTTTTTGGGGGGGATCCACTGTCTTTAAATTCCTTTTCCCCAAAAAACTTCTTGAAACTCCCTCATACATTAAAACATTGGATATGCAAAGAGACCAGTCTGACTCTCCAAACCAGAGACCAATATCCTTAGAAATCCTGAATTCACCCTCATGGCTCAATTTTCAGCCAAACAATAGACAAGCTTATAAAGACAACAATATCACCAGTGAGGTATGCACCCCTTAGAATCATCAACCATTTAAGAACAAATGGGTAGCATGAACCCAAACACAATGTTCAGAGGCTTCAGAGGAGGCGTTGAAGCAGGAAACACAAGGAGAGATGGAATAAACGATGATACAACATTGAGATGAATTTCAATGAGTTGAAACAAAACGCGTATGAATTACTATACGTAAAAAAAGGATGATCTGCTCTGTAAACCTTCAGCCAATACGCAATAAAGTTGTTGTTTTTTAATAAAATACTTTGTATATACAAAAGAGCTGTTGTGTCACACAGTCCTCAGCCATTCACGTCACAGAATCCACTCAGCTCTGCCTAGGCTTTGGGGCTGGGATTCTTCCACTACTCAGCTTTTAAAAGACACATGTGGTTTACCTGGTAAAGCGGTAATAAAATCCCTCTGCAACATGGGCTTCAGATAAGAGTTAATATGTCCATGCTGATAATGACACATTCGTGAAATAAGATGTTCCACAAATTCTACTTGATCTGATTCAGACCACTGGTCAAAATACTTAATACACAAGTCTTTTTCTTTTTGATAGTTTCCTTCGGATGGCCTCTTTCTGGAGACGATCACAGATGATGTTCCATTACTTATCTATTTAAGAAAAAAAAGAAAAAATAATTAGTTTGGCGAGGAAAATAAACCTAATTAACATTTCATTAAAAACATTTTTCATCCTGTGTATTTAATCTTAAAATACCAGTTTCACCCTATAGCCAAATTCATCCCTTTATTAATTCACTCAGAAGTAATTAAAATAAATTCAGGGCTCATGTCCTCAAGTTAGTCACTAAAGTCAATGCTGATGCTAAACGGTCTGTCTTAAATCATCGTTCTCCAAAGCTTATTTCAGAACCAAGCTGTTGTTAGACAGCCAATGCTGGAGAGGATCATCACTTGGAAAAGTGACAACCAACTATTAACAGTTTGTTGTGTTTCCTTAAAGTTCAAGGCGAATGCCATGCACAGTCCAAGCCGATGCTTCTCACCCATGCACACACATCAGAATCACACAGAGGCTTTGTTAACACACAGAGACTGCTAGGTCCCACGCCAGGGATTCTGACACTCTAGCTATGCACATGTAACAAGTTCTCAGATGACGCTGATGCTACTGGGCAGGGGCCACATCTTGAGAATCACTGATCTAGCTAATGGAAAAGATTATAAGCCTGTGTGCTGAAACCTGAAGGCAATTCGATATAAAAGTTTCATTTTACCTAACAGTTTCAAGCTCCTCCATCTAGTTTCCCAGTCAGACTAGACTGCCAGCCAACGCAGAGACATTCTCCTCCTCATCTGAATCACTTTCTCAGAAAGTGACCCAAGGTAGAGTCTGACTACTTGAAAAATTCCTCTCTTGTGCACCTGACTTGTGGATAACCCACAGTTTCTATACTAACAATACAGTCCTCATCAAATCTACCTACAGAGCCTTGGATAAAAATTAGTATACTGTCCTATCCAAGTACACCTCGGAGATTTTGTAGGTTTGGTTGCAAGCCACTGCAACCAAGCAATTATCAAAAGCAAGGGAATCATTCATTTGGGGACATTTGTGTAAGTTATGCTTAGAATATACTGTAGTGTATTAAGTGTGCAACTTCATTATGAAAAAGGTTGTGAGAACTTCCAAAATGTGACAGAAACATAAAGTGAGCACATGCTTTGGGGGAAAGTAATGCCAATACATTTGCTCAACAGAGGGCTGCTTCCATTTGCATTAAAAGTGGGGCGTGAGGGTAGAGAGTACAAAACCCAACTTCTTTCAAGCTTGAAGGTGAGAGGCCTATATAATCGGTCCACTAGTCTGAGTGTCTCTCTCCTTAGGCTTGCCAAACTTTGTCTCCATCAAGTTGCTTCCAGGACGGAGGAGTGGTGGAGAGTAAGGACTCGGGACAACAAAACCCTAGAAATGGCTATTAGGACTGGCCCTTGGAGAATGCATGGTGGGTTAGCCAGGTCTTGAAGAACTTAGGGCCTGGACATCCCCTGTGAAAGCAACCTCCCACCAAGCATGCCAAGGACACCATTTTTTGAACATGGGACACATGCCGCTGTTTGTACAACCGGATCTATTGCAAACATATACACACATGCAATGTTCAAAAATCCCTCATGAATATGTTGCCTCCCGCTTAGCTAACCCAGCTACTCAGAGGGTCAGCTCAGAAGAACCATCCTCCTGGCTCGCGCCTGGCTTCTTAAGGGAAATGAGGGTGGGGGGTTAAAATAAAGCAGTGGCAAGAAAACAAAATGTAGCTGTGCCTATGTACATTGGTTTTCAATTTTTTGAAACTCTATATATACTGCATCAGGACAACAGCACCCCACCCCACCCCCCAAAAAATCACACCACAACTACTAATGCTATGATACTCAGTAACCATCGTGATCAGAAACAAGCAGCCTCCACGCCTCCGTCCATCCCTCCTCTGAATACTGCTCAGAAGAACACTGAGGAGGCTGATAAATTCCTACTCGTTCCATAGGAGCCTATCACAGAAGTCTTATGTAGAAAGAGCCTGGAGCTTTTGCTATCAGCATGCCCCCTGCACTTGTCTCAAAACGAAGATATCCCTTATCAACTTCCAAACCCATCTACAATTTCCTTGATACAAATCTTATAATTTTGTGTGTGACGCAAGTTTTTCTGTCCACATTTACAGGTACAAAGCAGGAAGGCATTATTCTATCACCCTATTTATCTTACGACATACATCATTATCTAGCTATGCTTTCCCCTTGTATCTTGGAGGAGAGAAGTTGTGGTGGCAGTGAGGTTAAGCATTTGGCTGCTATCAAAAGGTTGGTATATTGAGCCCAACACCCACTCTATGGAAAGATGAAGCAGTCTGTATCCGTAGAGATGCACAGCCTCCGAAACGCTACAGGGTAGTCTTGCACTGTCCTAAGGAGCCCTGGCGGTGTAGGCGGTTACACGCTGGGCTGCTATGGCAAAGTCTGCAGTTTTGAAACAAGTCACTCTGAAGACGAAAGATGACGTTTCTACTAGATGATGCCTTACAGTCTTGGAAACCTAGAGGGGCGGTTCTGTCCTGTCCTATACGGTCACTATGAGTTGAAATAGACTCAGTAGTAGCAAGGTTTGGTTTTTCCATAGGGTTGCTGTGCGTGGGCAAAGGACTTGGATTTTATCTTGAGTCAAAGAGCACTCTCTGGCACCATAGACCACTAGGGGGCAGCATTGAACAGAAACCTGAATTTGGTGCAGCCTGTTGGAGGCTAGACACCAAAATACAGTGCCACACAGCACAAAAATGAACATTTTTGTCGCGGTAAACACTGGCAAGTATAAAGTACATCTGTTCTGCTTATGCATAAGGATTTCATCCAGCTATGAATGACAGAAATTGGAAATAAGATTAATGACCCAATTGTAGGCAACTCACTAGAGAAAATTACAGGCACACCTTGCTTTATTGCACTACGCTTTATGGGACTGCAGGTACCACAATTTTTACAAATTGAAGGTTTGTCACAACTCTGCATCACGCAACTCAACCGACACTATTTGTCCAAGAACTCACTTCATGCCTCTGCGTCACATTTCACTAATTCTTACATTATTTCAAACTTTTCCATAATGCTGTTGTACACTTAACAGACCACACTGTAGCTTACTATAACTTTTACATGAGCTGGGAAACTCCATGTAACTCCTTTTACTGTGCAGATCTGCTTTGGTAAGGTGGGCTGGAAGCAAGCTGAGGTATGTCTGAATATGATCACATGTACACACTGCTATTATGTAGCCATTAAACTCAGGTTTAAAAAGTAAGGCTGCTTTACAGGCACACACACTTATGAACTAATAGTAAGGGTCCAGAAATTGATATTGCCTCATGATCATATGGATTTGTGGGAAGGTGGGCAACCAACATAGGATAAGGAATGTGTATCAAAATGCTTCAAGTACATAATCCTGAGAAAGAGCGGTACACATGCCTTCTTTCCCCCTTTCTAGACAACTTGCCAAACTAACTGCTTTCATAACAAGTTAAAAATATTCTTTAAAAAAAAGCCAGTAAAAATTACCAGAGAGTAACAGCTTGCATTTGTGTGCTGTTCTATCACTTACAAAGCATGCTGACAGCCACTACCTCATATTTCACTTAGAAAAAGAAGGGTTTCTGATCATCTAGTCTCCCTGGAGCCTTTATAAACCAATAAGGAGTTGACTAGCAGACAGACAGAAGGAAAACCAAAAGACTGTATCTGAATGGGAAGTCTGGAGTGAATGCAGACAATCACGTTTATATATGCCGTACATAATTGCATGTAAGCCGACCCCCTATCAGCCGAGGCACCTAATTTTACCACTAAAACTGCATTAAAAATGTGCTGGAAAACTTGGCTTATACACGAGTGTGTGTGTGTGTGTGTGTACATATTTTTTAAAATAAAGGAACAAATTCAGACTGAATATGTTTGTTTGTTTGAATACTGGAATGTGCACTTTTCAATATTTTATTTCCAACCCCTACTGGGTCCAGTAAGAAGTTCCTGGCATTGTTTTGGTTTTTTGTCATTTTATCTTAAATTTGTTGGAGGTACTTTATTCTTGCTAAGTAACCTGCCTCTGTACTTTCAAATCAAACCAGCCAAGTTACTTTTCCTTCTTAAAACCTTATTTCATTTAGATGCCGATCATTGTGTCTTTAACCATACATTTAGGAAGGGAAACACTTATGTACCACAGTAGTTGGCAAAACCTCAAAGCATGAACATTCAGATGCCCACTCCTCAAAAACACAACATCCGGGGGAGTAGGGAAGAAACGACAGCCAGAAAGAAGGAAGCTGAGGCTTATGGGGAGGGAGGAGCACAATTAGAAGGAGAAAAGTGAAGGTCGAGGTAAGTACACTGTTGTGTGCCATGGTGCCATTCTGGTGACAAAGGACACCACCATTGTCCACCTCCGGCTTGATCACAGCCACAAACATTTTAGGCCATACCCACTTCAGAACTGTCATGAAAACACCAAAATGTTTTATTCTGTACTATTTAGAACAACATTTTCCCTAAGGAGAAGCAGATAACTGAAAGTGGGTTCCAAAACTAGCAAAACCGCACAAAACTAAACAAAATGCTTGGCTCTTGCTTTCCTTGTGCTATCAGCTAAGGGAGCATCTTATCTACATTGATTCAATTGCTATCTTATCTTATGCAGTCATTCCTACCTGCCAAAGAGTACTTTTCTTTGGGGACTCATCTTCATTTTGATCCTCCATAACTGAAGTGCTCTAAGGGGGGAAAAACAGGTTATTTGAATTATGCCGAGTTTCGTAAATCCTAAATAACTACACCAAGACAGCATTTTGAAAACCCAAGCTAGAGTCTAACAACACGAACCCAAGAAGTAAGTTAGCTTATGGATAATAACACATGCCATTCTGAGTCAAGGGGACTGTATTCATTTCTCATAAATCAATATGGGCAGTGACTAGACAAGAGTCCAGTGTAACCCTTGTTTATGAAGCTTCCGCATAAACAGTGGGAAAAGAGGCTACACTGTGGGAGTGGGGCTGGAGCTCTAATTCAGTCATCGTTATTATTCTGTAACTTGTGGCCAGAAACCCCAGAGACCCTCTTAAGTTCCTGATGATTGTACAAACTGTTTACTATCCAGCCCAACCATCAGCAGTTAGAAAGGACAAAGCCCTCCTGCTCCCTCTGTCCTCCCTGGATGGCTGTGTTTGTCTGCAATGGCTTTGCAATCTCCTCCAGCAGGCATGGTGGGTGCCCCAGCCATGTCCCTTGTCCCTGAAGAGGATGCTGTTAGCCAGTAACAATTTGGCACTCCCTGGAAATACATTAGCTTTTGGTTTTTGTGTTACTGCACAAAGAGGCACTGTAATAACTATTCTTTCTGGTGACCTAGTTGCTCAATCGATGCCCATTGACTAGAGGTGATGCATGATTGGATTTTCCCATTTGAGGCTCCTACAGAGCTGACTCTGACTCAGGGAGCCTAAAGCACAAAGACTGCCCTATAAGGTTTCCAACCTGTAAATCTTTATGGAAGTAGATTGTCGCATCTTTCTCCCATGGAGCAGCTGGTGGCCTTGAACCACTGCTATTTCAGTTTACTGCCCAGACACTTTCATCAGTGTGCCACCAGGGGCCCGCTTAATATGTAAATGAAAACTTAATGAAAAGGGGAAGTAAGAGAGTTGCACTTCAAATATAATAACTTGTTTATAGATAACAATCTCTCTAAGATCCCTTCCAGGCTAATTCTAAGATTGAAATATAAAACTTAAAATACTATATTTGTCCCATCACAGTATTCAACAGGATCTTGGATGTCTGTTTGTTAACATTGTTTATTAATCCTGTGTGTTGCCTTGTGGGGACAAGCCTATCTTTCCTTTCTTTTTTTTCCCACACAATATTTCTAAACCATTTGAAAACATCCAATGTGGGCACTGGCAGGTGAGTCATCACTATGCGACAGGTCGCACCGCTGGCTCTGGGCCAGTACGAATCTTAGATATCATATTTAGAATCTAAGGGTGAATCTTAGATTTGGTCACCTACGCAATGTGTATGTGTGACCTTGAGTAGGTCGTTTTACTCAGGGGGTGAATGTCAACTGTATAGAGTTGCCATGGGTCCTGTGAGTGCCTAGCACAACACCTGGCGCATAGAAGGGATCAGAAAATTAGTGTTCACTCCCTACTTTGAAGATGCTACTTTCCCCAAAGCTTCTCTTCTCCCACTTCTCTAAACTGAGACTGACAGAATGGCTCCAGATGGCTGACTACCCAAAAACCAACTGGCCTCCCCTGTAAAACCATAGAATCCCACTGCTCCAGTGCCTGCACTGGGGAGGAAATGGGCGTCTCCATGCAAACATCAGCCACCAGCTCATGGAAGGCAGCATGTATACAGAAAATAAACAGCACTTTATAAGCCAGATTACCTAAATTCACAATGCCCAATACTCATTTCCCTTTGCTATTTTCAAGTCGTTTCATGTGTACTGCTCAAACATTTCTGACTGGAACTTTGCTACGCTAACAAGGAACTATGACAGAATATGGTAGAACTAGGGTCCAAAGCCAGGTTAGAGAAGTGGCAGTAAATAACCCAGAATTAGTAGACAGGGTGAGAAGAGGGAAGCAAAGGGACTATTTCTGATGGGCCACTCGATGCAATTTTACTTTTAACTTGAGGGACCTGGGGATGAGTAAATGTGGCAGTGTTCCCTTAGGGAAGGAACAAAGTGACAACAGTGACTCTCAGGCCACCGTCTCCTGGGTTTGACAGTACAGTTACAGTGTTACCCTTACAATGTCACAATGTCTTGGATTCTGAGGAGGAGAGAGAATGACTGCCAAGAAGAAAGGTGAACTGGTAAAAGAATGGGGAATTAAGTGAAGAAAGGTGAGAAATCCGTCACCAATAGAGGGGGTATGTGTGTTCTGAACTAGAAACTTCTGGGGGAAAATGCAGCCTAGATACTCCAGAGTAATTCTTAACATTTTCCTCACTCAGAAAAGAAGCCAAGAAAGCCCAAATCCCTGTAGACTACACCAGAAGTAACCGTCTTTAGCATGAGAGAGCCAACTCTTCCTTTTACTCACCTCAAAGGGAGAGATGGCCTGTACTTACATGGTCCAGAAGGAAATGCCTACCCCTTCTGATAAAAATAGCTACTCTCCTCTTAAGGACTGGTAAAAGTGGATGAAGATAGGCAATTTAATACAATTGTACCCAGTAAGCCCCTGTGGTGGCTGGAACTACCCCCATGATACATATTTTTCAGTTTCTCTGATAAAAACCTCCAGAAGATGCCAAAGGCAAAATTCTGTGATTAAACTATAAGATCATTGCTGAAGTGTATTTCAGATACTAATCCCAAAGGTTAATTAAATTTGAGAGCAGCTTCACTCTCATTCACTCACTCACTCACTCACTCCCCCCACCCTCCCAAAATGGCACTGTGATACTAAAGGTTCTCTAATGTCCTACAATTTTTTTAATGAGACTGGTTTAGTTTAACCCAACCTTTCCAAACTGCTGGACTTTGATGGCCCACCCCCCTTCTATTAGGAAACCTATTCGTCTGTTTGTGACGCTGTTGCTATTTGCCATGGAGGCAGCCTGGATTCATGGGGAGCCCCTGTGCATCATGGTCCTGAACCTATTTCACAATCCTTGGTACACTTGGAGTTCCCTGTGGCCACTGTGATTTAAGTGCCTTCCAAGGAGGCGGCCCTTCTTCCGGCTCTAGAGCAGAGACAGGCAGTATTCTGTGATCTATACAGGTGCTCGCTGGCTAATTTCGGGAGATGGATCACCAGGCCTTTCGTTCTACGTCACAGTCTGGAAGATGCTGGAAGCTGCCCACCGTGGGAAGGTGAACCTGCTGGTATTTGAAATACAGGCGGCACAGCTACCAGAATCAGTGCAACATGCAAAGCACTTGTGTGACTAACGGATGGGTGGTGGCCACACGCCGGCAATTATTACAATCGGGCAATGCTGCCACCGAGTCATTTACAACTCACAGGGACCTTCTCGACACCCACTAACACCAGTGCAGTCCTGCACCACACTCACACTCATGCGGTGTCTGAGCCTTTGTTGTAGGCACTGCGCCAGCCACGCCATCTCCTGGGGCCTTCTTTTCACTGACCCTCTCCCAAGCACGATCTCCTGCTCCAGAGACTGACCCCTTCTGACAGCAAGTCCAAAGTACAGGAGACAAACGTCTCACCATCCTCACACCCAAGCAGCATCTGGCTAAAAATTTTCAAGACAGACTTGGTCATTCTTTTGGCAATCCATGGTACATTGAATATTCTTTGTCAGTACCCACATGCAGAGGCGTCAAGATACTCACTGTCTATCTAGCTTTCACACTAGGAGCCCCAGTGGCATAGTGGTTATGTGTAGAGCTGCTGACCACTAAGTCAGCAGTTCGAAACCACCAGCTGCTCTGCAGGAGAAAGACATGGCTTTCTGCTGGGTCAAGAATTACAAGCTCTTGTGTTGGAATCGTTACAACATACCAAGGAAAGCATCTGTGAGAAAGGGTTATCATGCTTCTTTATTAATACATTAAGATATACTGATGGTTCTTTTATATATATGTGTGTGTGTGTGTGTATATACATATACATACATACATACATATATAGTAGTGATGAATGTAAACCATAAAGGTCTTTGCTACCCACACACAAAAAGCGTTCCACGGACTTGCTGTTAAAAAAGGAGTTACTGTCTCAGAAACCTACAAAGGCAGGTCTACTCAATGGCATTGAGCAAGAGTTTTTAAGTTTGAGCTTTCCCAAAGTGACATATTTGCTTTTGGAACTCTTTAAAGAGGTCTATTACAGCAGATTTGCTCAATGTGGTATGTCTTTTGATTTCCTGACTGCTATTTCCAGGCACACTGATTGTGAATTCTAAGTAAAATAAAATTTTTGACATCATCAATATTAAGAAGAGGCCAGTAACACAGTACTTAAATTTCCTTCCAACTCTCACTTGTGAATGGAGTGAATGCTCCTGGGAGACAGAGGATGTGCAGCACATTCTTCCCCACTCCCGTGGCCCTTTCTCAGCCTACTCCATGGGTCAGATTGATGAGTGGGGGCAAAAAGAGAAAATTCTCTTATAGGAGCCATAAAACTTTAAAAAACAAAACCTGTTTTGGCTTTCGATCTTTAAAGACAATAGACAAGAGGTCACAGGTGAAGCACGGAGTGGGAGGAAAGGGTGGTGAGTCTCCCTAGGGAAAAGGAAGGTGGTTTCCTACAGGGGAACTTTCAGGTGAAACCATGAGGTAAGCCAATTAGAGAGGGTTGATATCCTCTGTGAGCCTCCAACACTTTTGGGAACAGGAAGTTCTTTGAAACACCAAAGGGGCTTATTCACTTCTTGTCATCACCTCTTTCCTCCTTAACCTACTGAGAAACATCGCACATCTGAAGAGGCTTCAAAAGGTTCCTAAACTCCACTCTCGTTTAATTTCATTTCCCATTAAATTTCTGAAGGCCCCTTCTAGGTAATAGATAAATATGCAGGCTCTCCCCCTGTGATACTGACACCGGTGAAAAACTCAATCTGAGAATGGGCTGGACTCTAGGGCAAGTGAACCTTGGTCTCACTGATATGTGAGGCTGTCACAGGCCATCATATACCCTAGGGGATTTAGCAGTACTTCCCTACCACGCCACAGCCCCAATGTCTCCTGTGACAAGCAAAAATATCTCAGATGGACAGATGG